AAATCTAATATTAAATAATCATTTTTGTAATACAATCTCTGTCAACTAAAGATAAAATTAAATTCCTATTTTAAATATACTAATTACTTATTGTTGATGTTCTACACCATTACTGCGCATGTGTTAACTTCTGTTACTACTTCTGCGCATACATTGACATCATTTTTTCTCACTGCGCATGTTCTGACCTCATATATATGTACTGCGCATACATTAAATACATTTTACCATATTGCGCACATTTCGGATGCTTATATCTTCACTGCGCATGTTTTGATATTCTACACCATTACTGCGCATGTATTGACTTCTGTTACTACTTATGCCCATACATTGACTTTATTTTTCCTCACTGCGCATGTTCTGACTTCATATACCTCTACTGCGCATATATTAAATACATTTTACGATATTTCTCACATTTTGGATGCTTATGTCTTCACTGCGCATGTTTTGATGTCCTACACCATTACTGCGCATGTGTTGACTTCTGTTACTATTTATGCGCATACATTGACTTAATTTTTCCTCACTGCGCATGTTTTGACTTCATATACCTTTACTGCGCATATATTAAATACATTTTACGATATTGCGCAAATGTTGCATGCTTATATCTTCGCAGCACATGTTTCGACGTAATACACTATTACTGCGCATGATTTGACTTAAAGAAATTCTTCTGTGCATGCATTGATTACATATTTAATTTCTGCGCAGGTACTTTCTTTATACATGTAATATATGCATATATCAAATGCATTTCACATCACTGAATAGTTAAATTTTTTAAAATAGTAATCATTATTGTTTTTAATCTGCTTTATACGCTTATGCGCATATTTAATTGCTATAAAATACTTTTGCGCTTTTCTTTTTTCTCTATAAGTCCATTGCGCATCTATTAAGCCTTTAGAAAAACCTCTTCTAATGCAAATATATACTTTAGAAGCTTTGTTAATATGTAAAGCATAATTTGAGGACATTTGTTTTCCCCTAAATTGACATTGTGGCGCCATCTCTTAGCGCTGTCAAAATTGTGCCTGTGCTCAAAGTATACTTTTCAGCTCGTTTTTCGAAATGTCCTCAAAGTATGCGTTTCTTCCACGTTTTTTTGGGGGACCGACCCCAAAGTATGCAAAAGTTCTCAAAGTATGCGTTGGCTCCAAGAACGGTACCCAAAATATGCGCTGTACATATATATATAATATAAAACATGCTTTTTGTCTAAATTTTTTTGTCCAAATGCGCGATAAACAAGACGCATCTGTAGAGTAAATCCAAAAATGAATAATATGTACTTTGAAAATACATTGAATGTATTTCTTAATTACTTAGTAAATTAGTTACTATATTTATTATAAAGTTAATTAGTTAGTAACTTAGTAACTAAGATAGTAAGAAACCAAGTTAGTTATAGAAAAAAGTAAGTGTTGTTTTAACACCAAATTTGGTTTTAAAACGACACGCAACACTTTTTCACCAGGGGTGTTATTTTAACACTACAATCGGTATTAGTCTATATTACTAACAACATCAATACTAGTGTTAAAACGACACCACATTCCACAACACCAATTTCAAATAACACGCAACATATTTAACACCTACTTTTTTCTGTGTAGTAACTAAGACAGTCAGTAACCAAGTTAGTTACTAAGTTAATTAGTAACTAAATTATTTAGTCTGTAATTTTTGACTTTGTTTTTATTTGGAGTAATAGAAAGTGATAATATTATAATTAGTTATGTTTAATTAACACTTCAAAAGCAGCGGGCGGAAAAACAACTTTTCCGCCCGCTAAGGTCATGGAGGAGTGCGGAAAAGTAATTTTTCTGCGCGCTGTTGGTATTCTGTTGGTAGTCGAGAGACAAAAGCTTACTTTCCGCCCGCTATGCATGCTCAGAAAGTCGAGTTTATCGCGCATGTAGAACAAAAAATAACGTTTAAATTTGCAAGGTGGTCAATTTTTTACATGTTGTTTTAGTGAGATTGAGTAACATTTTTTCCGTTCTGTTGTTTTGGAATTACCTTTAATTTAAAAAAGACATTTATATTATTACAAAAAAATTTGTTTTTGGAAATTAACAATTTTAATTATAAAGTTTCAAGAAAAATATTAACAATTTATAAAGAAGTATTTTTTTTGTATTAACCCTTAAACCGCACACTTCCGAATCCATCCTTAAACCGCACACTGGGTGTATGACACCCGGGGACTTTAAAGTGTGTTCTCCAAGCTGGAAAAGGATATTATGTTTCAGAAAAATTATCTTATGTAGCTCAGTACATATATTTTAAAGGGAAAATAATTTTAATAATGATTTATTTAATCTTAATAATTAAAAAAATGTTTTTTAAAACTACTGAAATCACCTTAAACCGAAAACTGGGTATCAGCCACCCAGAAATTTTTCGCTGTTAACTTCATAAAGTTATCAAATACACAAAGACACTTGGAAGACTAATCTCCCTCACGGAACATAAAGTTAAGTACAAAATGTGTCGTCCAATAGCGATATATGTTCAATTTTTACGACTTTAAACGAGATATTAGAGTAAAAAGCTAGAATATGGGTGTCGCACACCCAGGGTGCGGTTTAAGGGTTAATATAATTTGTATGTTGGTGTTGATGAATTCTATGTTAATTACGAAAATAATTTTGACGTTGAAATGCATTAAAATGACGTTTAAAAGTGCAACAGAAGTGAAATTATTCTCGAATACTTTATCCAATAGTCCTTAACCTTTATGGGGCTGAGGAAAAAAACACATTCTATGGACGGACGAAGCACCCGGGTACCTATGTTTAATTTGTTGACGATTTCTTATGGATATAATTATTTAACTATAGTAACTAAACTACATATTTTATAAAAAAATTATGTGTAGTACTATAAAAATTGTTTAATGAAATTCATAATTTTTAAATAGAACTTTCTACACATTTATCTGCATAAAATATATAAAGGTACCCAAGTACCTTGTCCGCCTTTTATGGGTGAAGAAACTTTGTTTATTATTTCGGAATAAATAAATAAAAAAAATTACATTATAATTAATATAAAAAATTAGAAACACTTTGTATGAAAAAATTTGAGATGTCAAGAAACCTTAGGTCGATACGATTTTAAAAATTATGAAAAAATCAATTGGAAAATGCTACAGGTACCCGGGTACCTTGTCCGCCTTTTATGGGTGAAGAAACTTTGTTTATTATTTCCTAATAAATAAATAAAAAATGTACATTGTAAATAATATAAAAACACTTTGTATGAATAAATTTGAAATGTCAAAAAACCTTAGGTCGATTCGATTTTAAAAATTATGAAACAATCAATTTGAAAATCCAAAAGGTACCCGGGTACCTCATCAGTCTCTGATGTTAGTTTTTTAAAATTTTAAATGGCAGATACAAAATGGCGGACAAGATTTAAAAAAGATTAGATTGGCTTGAAAATTGTTTCTCGAGGGTTTTTGAGGTTGCTGATTACGAATTTGAAGTTAACTTTTAGAAATTCACTATGTCGGACAAAAAAAAATTAAATTAAGCGAAATTTTTAGATACTTGTTTCTCGTAAGGTTTTTGGGGTAGCTGGTTATAAAACTTATGTTAACCTTTAGAAAGGAGGACGATAAAAAAGGTCTACTTTTGCCCCCGAAAATTTGGATTGTATTCTTATACATTTTGAGCTCATGAATCAAGTAGTAATCTTCAATTCCCCTCATACTCTCGGGAATGTTGTGAAAGTATAGAAAAAACTTTGCAAAAACGAGTTGCACTCGCACTGAAATGGCGGGTTCCGTACACTAATACTTAGATCATTTAATACCAAAAAAAATTTTTTTCATTAATTTTTTTGTGATCAGACTTTATTAATACACTAGTATACCAATTTTTAGCTCATTAGGTCAAATAATGTAGAAGTTAGGGGAAAAAACTGTTTTTCAAAATTTTTTATTTTTTCCTTCACAACGCTATGGCTATTATTACATAGCAAATTCTCTATATTTTTCCTGTAATATTAAAGTTGAAATACACCAGTATGCTAAATTTTAGCTCTCTATCTTAAACAGTTTAGAAGTTAAGGGGGGAATGGTCACTTTTTATGCATTTTTGGACAAAAATCTTGTTATTATCTTGACAACGCTATGCTCATCACCTCGAATCACATTCGCTATATATATATTTCTCTAGGTGAAATAGTTTAGCCGCTAGGGGGGTGGCAAGATTTGGCTACGGACGCAAGAGTCTCACCAATAGGGTTCCGTCGATACACCTACGGTGTACGGAACCCTAAAAACTCTAAAAACCATGAAAACTAAAAAAATAATAAAGTTAGAATAAGAGAAAAAACCGGGTCCCTATTAAAAATTTTTACGTCGTACACTACGTGGTATATTACGTAGTAAACTACTAAATAAATTACGTTTTTAACCATGTAGAAAACCATGTCGTAATAAACTTTGCAAACTACGTCGATTGCAACGTTGAAATTTGGAATAGTAAATGACGTAAATTACAACGTCGTATTTGACGTAGGAAATAACCATGGTACGAGCTAATCTGAAAATACTTAAATTTTCTAAATTAATTATTAAATTTATTGGTCTGCATAAATTTATTTAAAGCACTAGCTTGAAAGTTTATTTATTAAAAGGATTGTTTTATTATTGATATTAATAAATTTTTTTAATGAATAATTTAGAAAATAAATTTTTAATTTTAAAGATAATAACTAAAAAATTAGTAAAACTAGTAAAAATAATTACATTCTAACAGGAATCATGTACAATAAAATATCAGTTTTAGTGAAATAGCAATAATTTTATTAAATTAATCTTTTGACAAGTATTCTTAATGTACTAAATTATTGAGACTGTTTTTAATAGTATTACGTAAATAATTCAAACTTAATTAAATTGAAACAAACAATTAATCATTATTAATTTAAAAAAAATTGATTCTTTAATGTGTTTTTCTTCGCACATCATACAGCTTGTTTTTCATGTAAGTTGGAATCTTCTTCATTCTTAATTGCCGTTGTCTTCCAGTCACTCCCGACTCCGTGATTTTGTTGTATAGACAGTCTACCGTAAGAAAAAGAATTTTATTAAAGAAAACCAATCTCACAATATTCAGTATAAGTATTATTGATGAATGAAATTAAAAAGTAGTTTGATTTTAATAATTTTGATGTCATTTTTATATTAAATTAATACCATAGTAATATTAAGCTAATATAACGTATCGCTTAGGTAGTTAAGTAATAGATTTAATTTAATTAAATATATTTTTTTAAAGTGATACCGTTCAAAAGTAATATTCTGTTTTTAAATATGATTAATTAAATAAGTTTATTCATTTTTTTAAAATTAATAATTATTTTTAATAAATTGATTTAAGTGAAAATTAACATAAATTAGTTTCTCTTTTCAGATAGAATTTTGAAGGTTAAATATTTTTTATAAGAAATCATACATTAACTGGAAATTTATTAATATGAAATATACTGTACTGCGCGAAAACAAATTTAGTGCAGTAAAAGCTCTTGCGAGTTGACTCCAATCACTTTGAATAGCATATGTATTTTCTGGGAACAGCCGGCATCTACACATTGGAGTATATCCTGCACCACTTGGTGTTCCAGAACTCCCAAGTTGTAAACTCGGTTGCATCAACACTCAAGAGGCAGCAAATTAAAAACAGCTCGCTATCTCGGTGCAACTAACGTGCACCATCTTGGGATCTCTGATGCACCAACAACGCAGAAGATACCTCTTTTGATGCGTTTGCTGTCCAAAAACATGTGTGTTTGCTGTTTCAAGTTATAGGAATAACTGGTAGAAACGTCTGATGAACTAAATTTTTTTCCGCGAAGACAGTGCCAGCGCTGAATATTGATTGATCATATAACTTTTTAAAATCTTATAAGTTGCAGGAGTCAATGGTCTTCTCATTTCTTCTCCTTCAACTCTATTCATATTGGCTCTTTCAGCACTTAAGCAGCGTTGTCTCAGTTCTTCTCTACTCCATAATACTTCCGCTACATCTCGCACAAACTTTGAATCTGAGCGGGTCTTCATTGACTCCCATACATCGAGATGTACTTTTCTGTCTTCTCGAAGATATACCTGAAGCGAAAAAATATAAATAGGTTAACTCTATTAAACTATCGGAAAAGTCAAAAAATTTAAATTGTCAGAAAAAATCAGGGAATTTATTTAATTATCCGGAATTATTTTTTAAATACTGAAAATAATATTTGCTTTAAAAAAACTTTTGTCAAAAAAACATTTGTCCACATAAAATTGCTTTCTATTTAATATTGTTATAACAATAACACTATTTTAATAATTCAAGTATTCTAAATTTTATAATTTCAAAAAATTAGTATCAGTAACTTTTATTTGGTGAATTAACTAAAAATTAATTTAAACTTTAGTTTATTTAAAATTCAATTCTTCTAAACTTAATTATTTATCATTTCAATAATACTATATTCTAATCCATTGTATATTAAACTATTTAAATATTTTTGTCAAGTATAAATTTAATTCTTCTACATTCCGTTGAGTTAAATTGAATTATACTGAATTCAAACCAGTTAAGAATTAAATCAATCTAAATTTCTTATAATTAAAAATTTTACTAATTTAAAAATATAAGTTTTTCATATTCTATTCAAAAACAAAATTCTTTATTCTAAATTTAAATAAGAAAAAGTCAATTATTGAAAATTTATTAATTTGTAGTAAGTGAATAATGAAGTAATTGAAATGTAGAATATTTAAATAATGGTTGTTATATTCCTATGACATTCATTATTTTGAACAGATCAAATAAAATATAAAGTTAAAGGTTTGTTTTTTCTAATTCTAAAGCACCAAAAATATTTATTGGGTCAGTCCATTATATTTCATCTGAAGCCGTTGCGGCCTATTTTTAAAAAAATCTCATAATTTGTAAAAATGATGTTTAATATCCATAAAATTCATTTTTGAGAATTATTTTATAAAATTTTTTGAATTTAACTTAGAATTTTAATTTTTAAATTGAGTTGGACAGAAAAAAGGTTAGATTGACAGTTATGAAAATTTAATAAAAAAGCATGGAAATAATTTAGATAATACAAATTTCAAAATTGATATTTGTTAAAAATGAGCTAATTTACTTGTATAAATAGATTATCATGTAAACATACCCAAAATAATAGATAAAAATTGATTTTAAAATTTACCTATGAAATGTCGAAAGTCACTACATTTTAATTAAATTTTTCTAAAAAGTGTATAAATATTAAAAAATTTATTACTTCTTAATGTAAAGTATTTTCAATGTACTTTCATAATATGTGGTAACTTTTTAATTTTATAATATAGAAATATGAAAAATTTTACTTTTAATATTGAGTGTTTCATGATTTTCATTGATTTTTATTACTTATTTCTTCTCAGGTGCAAGACTAAAAAATCCAATTTTTGTCTTAATATTTAAGTTTGAACTTCCTTTCCATTCTATTAAATTTTGGTGATGGAGAACGAGCTACTTTTCATTTTAAATTTAGTTTAAAAAATCTGCTGAAAAAACGAATTTGTTGGTTAAAATGCAGGTAATTTTATAACACTGAATCTGGCTATCTCAATAGTCATGCAAAAATCTACTTGCATTTTAACCAATAAATTCTTTTTTTCAGCAGATTTTTTAAAATAAATTTAAAATGAAAAGTAGCTCGTTCTCCATCACCAAAATTTAATAGAATGGAAAAGAAGTTTAAACTTAAACATTAAGACAAAAATTGGATTTTTTAGTCTTGCACCTGAGAAGAAATAAGTAATTGAAATCAATGAAAATCATGAAACACTCAATATTAAATGTAAAATATTTCATATTTCTATAGTATAAAATTAAAAAGTTAGCACATATTATGAAAGTAGATTGAAAATACTTTACATTAAGTAGTAATAAATTTTTTAATATTTATACACTTTTTAGAAAAATTTAATTAAAATGTAGTGACTTTTGACATTTCATAGTTAAGTTTTAAAATCAATTTTTATCTATTATTTTGGGTATGTTTACCTAATAATCTATTTATACAAGTAAATTAGCTTATTTTTAACAAATATCAATCAAGAAATTTGTATTATATAAATTATTTCCATGCTTTTTTATTAAATTTACATATCTGTCAATCTAACCTTTTTTCTGTGCAACTCAACTTAAAAATTAAAATTCTAAGTTAAATTCAAAAAATTTTATAAAATAATTCTCAAAAATGAATTTTATGGATATTAAACATCATTTTTACAAATTATGAGATTTTTTTAAAAATAGACCGCAACAGCTTCAGGTGAAATATAATGAACTGACCCTATTATTATTTTTTTTTATTAATTTTATAGTGTCTGCTAATATTAATAATGATTTTCATAGTTATCTCATGATTTATGTAAACATACCCAATCATTTTCATTAACGTTGCGATTCCCTGCAAAATTTCTATTAGTTCCATGATTTTCAAAAGGTCGAGGATTTCCAGCTGGATCATAATATTCAGGTCGACGATGATCTAGAGCCCTTTGTTGATCTCCTGCAACTTGTCCGTTTGGTTCAATATTTTCAACTAGTGGATTACGTTCAGCTCTATGCTGGTCTACAGCCCTAGGACGGTTTCCTGCAACTTGTATAGGTTCAGCTCTATGCTGGTCTACAGCCCTAGGACGGTTCCCTGCAACTTGTATAGAAGCTCTATGCTGGTCAACAGCCCTAGGACGGTTTCCTGCAACTTGTATAGAAGCTCTATGCTAGTCTACAGCCCTAGGACGGTTTCCTGCAACTTGTATAGAAGGTCTAGAATTTCTGGCAGGTCCATTACGTTCAGGTCTGTGATGGTCTTCTGCCCTAAGACTGTTTTCTGTAACATGTTCGAAAGTTCAAAATTTTCAGGTCTATGATTTCCCCTAGTACTAGTACTTTCTGAAGATTCATCTCTTCCTGAAAATGCGGAAATTTTATTATTTATTTATTATTTTATTATTTATTTATTATTTATTGACAGTTGACAAACTTTTTTGTTTGAACTGACAGCTGAATTGTCTGAATAAGTTTATATATGAATATTTACAATCCTTAAAGCATTGATTACAAATTTTAACATACCATTATTATTTTCCGAACGCCTAGCATTTTTATCAACTCCAGTGTTTGTACAAGACCGAGAATTCCTAGAAGCTGCAGAGTCATGAGAATCATTGCTACTATCTTCTTTTAAATCGACAATTTGCGAAGATCCCGAATTGCCATCTAAATTTTTTGTAAACATTTGTATTTAATTTTTCCTTTTTTATATTTTTTTATTTTTTGGATATAAAATATATTTTAAAAATTTGAATAACTATTTTTCTAATTTTAGTTTTCGTCAATCTTTCCAGTTTTTAAAATTTAAATAAATTTATTTTATTTATTTGAAGTTGTTCAATGTAATTAATAAAATTATATCAGATTATTTTGAAATAATGAAAAGAGAAGTAAGCAGAATGCTATATACAAATATCAAAAAATAATCATTTTTGATTATTGGAACAACTAAAACAATTTGACTTACGTTCAAGCTCAGAATTATCTGCTAAAAAACTTCCAGAATTTGATGACAGTAGAACAGTATCGCTTCTTTCTAAACTGTCGTCTTCAGATTCGTCGATGACTTCTCTGCTTTCCATATTATTATAGTATACTTAGCCATAATACTTTCATTTTGTTTCCTTTTTGCCTCCTCCCGAACTTTTGATTGCTGTTTACGTTTCTTTTTCTGATTTTCCAAACTGCTCGATGATTGAAAGCTGATAAGTCTTCTGTTTGGAAATTGCAAACGAGTTTCCTTTATCTTCTTCTCCAAATGTTTTTTACTTTCTGTAGAGACAGAAATTAAAACATAAATTAATTTAATAGATTAGATAATTACAATTTGTTGTCACACTTCAGTGCATAAAGGAATAAAAGTGGGACCAAGGTTTTTACAATAACAATATATTCGAAAAATGTATTTTTAGGTGAAAATAAAAAAAATACTGGTAATAACTCTAGTTAAAATTAAGAAAACGATATTTTCAAAAAGTACTTACTTCCCAGCGAAAGAATCAAAGCGTTCAATAAATTCCCATCCCCTTTTCCAGTTCCAGTCCAGACTTTGTATTTTTTATTCTTGATAAAATCGTCTTCATTTTTAGGATTGAAATTTAAAATAGAGTTTATGGACACAGTTTGCAAACAAGATTGACATTTTTATTTTGTTTTTAATGATATAAATGACTTGACAGAATGTGATGTGTATTTGTTGTAAAAAAACAATCAAATCTGGTTTCCAAAGTAACGTTAATTACTTGGTTCAAACGATTAACAAAATATTGTAACAAATGAAATTGTATGTAAAAGAATGAAGATAGGCAAGAAAAAATTGAATTTGACTAACGTTGACTAACGTCATTTAAAAATTTTTTCCTTTTTTTAAATTTTATATTTTGAGTTTGTCAAAAGTTATTTAAAGAATTTTTCATTAGTTAAAAATATTATCATGAATGAGCAGAAAAGATATAAAAAATATCTCGAATCTGGATCTGATGAACCTATACCATCGACTTCATTCTATAGATACAGAAAGTTGATGAGAGAAAAGGTGAATATGTATTTATCAAATGTAATAAATGCTTTATATTAATTTTTTAAATTATCTTTTGAATAGTTATTACGATTAATAAATATAAATTGTAATAAATGTTAAGTATACTTTATTTACTAGTTTCGGGACACTCATAAGTTACGTTACTAATTTTTCAGATTTTTTAGACAACCTCTCCCCCTCGTAGCCACTGCGTTAAATGCAATTTTGTAGATTTTTTGACCCCCTCCACCCCTATATTAGTAACATAGTTTATAAATGGTCTCTTTACATTAATATTATTATTGTTTGTAATTTATTTTTTAATATCAATTTTTGTTTTTTAATTTAAAATACAATTTATTTTATTAAAGGGAGGAAATCAGCATCAACAAAACATTGAAATCGAGAGTGAGAATGACAAACGGATTACTTTAGAAAATTTAGAAGATTTAGAAAATTTAGAATCTCATGATACATACTCTGCCGATGAGCCCATAGAAATTTCTGAATCTTTTTACAATAATGAAATACTTGAAGAAACTCATATTGATGATTTTCAAGTAAGCATCTGTCTTCAACCCTTGGCTATTCAGGAAATTCTTTAAAATGTCCAAAAGATATCTTAAATAGCTGAGATTTATGAGAATAGAACCTTACGCATTAACGGTTACAGCTTAAAAATATTTTTTTAAATTAACCTACATATTGTAGACTTCAACATCTGATAATAGTAATGAAGCAAAAATTTCCAATATTTTGGAGTCACTGGTTGATGAAATTGATTCGATTGAAAATGAAGTAAAGAACAATATTGAGGTGAATTCATAATTTTTATTGTATATAAATAATGATGGAAGACGTAATTTACTTAAGACATTCTATTTTCTGGATAATGAATATTTTTTTATGTTATATTAATTGCAGCTCATTTCAAAACATTTTCTCTATCTTTTACAGTAAAAGATCAAAAGATTATATTAAATTTGATATCTAGCGTCTAAGTTTTCAGAAATTAACACAAGAAAAAGTTCTATAAACTTCATCGATAAATTTAAATCTAACCTGCTCATTTCAATTATACATATAGCACTGTAGAAACAAAAGAATTATCTTAGCTACTCTAATACAGAAAAAATAATATTTTCCAAGTTTAATAATTGTTTTTCCAGTAAATTAAAAAGTATATATTAGAGTTTTCAAAATAAAATGTCACACTGCAATTAGTCATTTAATTAATTTAATTTAATACTTTAACATTAATATAAATTAGTAACATTTAATTTATAATAATTAAAAAATTAATCACTCACTCTGCAAGTATTAACCCCCATTCGACGTCCTGTGGGACTTATGGAGGAAGAAAAAATATAAAAACTCATTTTTTTCGAAAACTATTTAACCAATTTTAATAAATAAATTTGAATATGCTGTAAAAATAAGTCAGTTTTTGGTTTAAAAGATCCAAATTACATAAATAAATATAAATATACAAATAAAGTTACTTTTGCATATTTACTCTGAATTTATCCTCTACGCCCTTTTCTCAAAAAATGTGATTTAATGTTATTTCAATCTCTCGGTACTCCTAAATTTGCAGAAATATTTATTATTATATTAATTTATATTATTATAAAGTAATAAAATTATAATTTAAAAAATAATTATTTATACATTAGTAGGGTTGCCACAAGTCAGGGAATTCAGGTAGAAGTCAGGAAAAGTATGACTGGTCAGGGAAATCAGGGAAAGTCAGGGATTTTTAGTAAAAGTACTGGAAAAAATTATAAATTATTTAATGAATAATTTTTACAACTTTCATAAACTTTAGATTGATAGAAAAATTTTAGTTAAAAGTACTAAAAAATTGAATTTTGGAAAGGTTACAAATGATTCCAGAAATTCAATTATATTCAAAAGTTATAAAAATTCTTCACCGAAATTCAATTATTTTTATAAACTTGATTAAAATTCTTCGCAGAAATTCAATTATGTTTAAAAATTTAAAAAAATTCTTATCAAAATTTCAAGTATCTTTATAAATAATAAAATTCTTCTGGAGAGATTGTTAAAGAGTTATGTTTGTACGTGAAGAATGTTGAAAATAAGTTAAGAGATGAAAAATAACAAGTAAATTATTAATTAAGGTTTAATTTAAGTGTAAAGGAAATTTTAAAGGTCCTACGAAAGGACATACAATAAAATAAATTATAATTATTATTATTAATAAAATTCTTCTCCGAACACGGAGAAAAATGGAAAAATGAATTATGCAGTCAGTGTAGTACTCCTTTATAGAATAATATGTGACAGGTACACACTATAGTATTAGAAGTTTCATAGCTGAACAGTTTGGGACTCAACACAAGTTATCCCATTCATCAGCTTAAACAAGACTGTTTATATAGTCTAAGAGGGAATAAGAGTATAAAAAATTGGAATGAGAAATTTCTTTCTCATGTAATTGTTAAAAGAACGCGGCAGTGTACAAAACACAAGTCAATAATAGAAGCGAATATTGAACAAATAGTACTCAGTCCAGTTCTTTCGAAAAATGAACGCCGTGCACATAAAGTAGATACCTACTCGAAAACCACAAGTTATTCTCTCTCTCTCTCACACTAATGGTCGTTCACTTATCTTACCGTTTCACTTACTCTTACTACTCTCAACTATTATGCAGTGCAGTTAAGTTCATTAAATTATTAAATATTGCTGTGAGAATAATTAATTATACATTTCATTCAAGGTCAATTTACTATTTTGTACACGAAAAAAAAGAATAATCAAATTTACCATGAGGACTGTCAAACTTAAAAAAGGTTTCAAGGTTATTAAGAAAAAATTAATGTTTTTTATTTATTATTAAATTCTAATAACCGTATCAAATTTAAACTAGTTGACAATATTATTTATTCAATATTATGAATATTGTTGACATCCATACTTACATTAATTACAAAGTAAAATCCACGCATGATCTAATTTATTTCATTGGTAAGGGATGTTTCTTAAATAGGAAATTTCCCCCATCGATTGCGTAGCCGAGAGGCTTAATGTAAAAGCGTGCGATTTATAATTATGCGTATATTTAGTTGTATGGTTAGGTAGGTGTTCAATCCCGTATGATTGTAAGATTTTCCGATGCATTTAGTTGTTAATTGTAAGTATGAAGATGTGGGAAGAATAAAACTTGTGAATTAATGAATATGAATATATAAAGAGTGCATTTAACATATTTTTCTTTTTTTTAAGGCTATGTCCAAGTTGTGAAATGTAAACAAACTAAAAGGTTACTACACCAGCACTAAAAACGCAATTTTGCGACAGCCAATTCTCCCACAAAAAATAACATTTTTACACTTTCTTTACGAAAATGGAAAATTAGAGTATCAAAGTTTCCAAAAAAATCATTTTTGAATATAAGCAATAAAAAGCAATTAGTAAAATAACTAATTATAATGAGCTGTAAAATGGCATTTTTGACGCGTCGCGAAAAATAAACTGTTTGAGTATATCAACCGCACTGACGATGAAGAAGTCTCATGTCAGCGATTGGACCTTCAACATGTGGAAAGGGAAATTTTTCCCTTTCCTCCTTGAAATTACAAGAGAAAGGGTAAAAACTTCTTCATCGTCCGTGCGGTTGATATAGTCAAACAGTTTAATTTTTCGCGACGTGAACTCTGTTGCTCGCTGCGCGTGCGCAGACCGTACCAAGGTCGCAATGACATTGCCATGCAAAAAGGCACATTTTTTTTTTGACTGAATCTCAGTGGTTTTCTCATTTTTTCAGTTATTCAAAGTTTAGTTACCAAATTCGATACGTTAGTTCACCATTTCTATAAAGAAAATGTGAATTTATCTTTATTTACGCAAATGGGAACCGCGAAAAAATGCTTCACTATTCGGTCTATAATGAAGCATTTTTTCGCTGTTCGCATTTGCGTAAATAAATATAAATTCACATTTTCTTTATGGAAATGGCGAACTAAAGTATCGAATTTGGTAACTACACCTTGCATAGCTGAAAAAAATGAGAAAATAACTAAGTTTCAGTAGAAAACAAAATGTGCATTTTCGCATGGTGCTGTCAATGCATTCTTAGTTTTGGTTTTGAATGATACTCAGTGGTTTTCTCATTTTTTCAGCTATGCAAGGTGTAGTTACCAAATTCGATA